TAAAAAAATGTGGTTTGAAATTCAGCCGCGTTCGCCAGATCTGATAATTACCACACTGAATACTTTATAAATCATATAGCCTAAATCGAACACCATACCGTAGTATTTTTTTGAAAAGTTGTCGGCCTTTGCAGCTCTTCAAAGTCGGAAGTTTGCACGTGCCGTATTTTCGAAATGTAAACAAATGTTTACATCGAGTTCTTAAAGAAGTCATCAGCAGAATCAGCGATAGAAAAGAGGTAATTATAACTAAAATGTTACTATGTATGCCTAGTGTGTATTTGTTTCGGTCTGTTGGTTGAGTAATGACATGTTTGACCATGTCTGTGAACCGATTCTAGCGAGACTGACAACATTTTGAACTAACCAACCTGAATCAGTGAATTTTGAAATACTGACACATTGAAGGCTACGAACAAGACTCTGTATCCAGACATCTTCACCTGTCTAGTTGTACTAATTACGAGAGGCAGTTTAGTATCATGAGACGCCTGAAAAACTACATGAGATCAACGATGCTCACAGAACGGATGTCTGGACTAGCCCTGTTGCACGCCTACAGACACATGGAAATAGATATTGATATTATCATTAACGAGTTTGCGGCCAGCAAAGGCCGCAAGTTAGACTTGCTGTGAAATGTAGACTAGTTGAAATAAACGAAAGTAAAGCTATTCATCTCCATTTTTATGCTAAAATAAATGGATTTTCGTTGGTCAAGAAAGCTCTCCGGAGGCCCCAAAACGCACCAAATTGCACCATTTATTTCAAAATTTTCAGGGGGGGGGGGGGGGGCATGCCCCCTGACCCCCCTAGATTATTTTGAATCAACATTCTTTATAGGCTAGCTACGCGCCTGGCTAATCTGGCTAACAAATTTTTTTTATGCCATCGCGGCCAATTTCAACCAAACTTGGCAGGTTTGATCCTTGGGTAAAGGGTTTCCAAAGTTGTTCAAAAAATTGGACTGAATGCAGAAATCTGGTTGCCATGGCAACCAAAAGGAATTATAAGAATAAATTTAAAAAATCTTCGCGTAATGATCAACAAGGCCTAGAGCATAGATATTTTGCATAAGGCATTGTCAGGTAGACCTCTACCAAGATTGTTCAAATTAAAGCCCCTAAGTCAAAATTGGCCCGTCCCGGGGGTCATTGATTTTCATTATGTACATATAGTAGAAACTTTAAAAAATCTACTTGTCTGAAGGTACAAAATCTAGAGCTTTGATTTTTGGTATATGATATCATCTTTAGTTCTTCTATCAAAGTTATTCAAATTTTGCCTCTAGTGTCAAAATTAGCCCTGCCCCACCCTGGGTTTTCCTTAAATATATGTAGTAAAAACTTAAATAATCTTGATCTCTAAATTTACAAAGGCTAGAGGTAAGATATTTTTCATGAAACATTGTGTAAATTTACAAAGGCTAGAGGTAAGATATTTTGCATGAAACATTGTGTAGTGGACCTCTACGAAGATTTTTCAAATTACAGCCCTTGGGTCAAAATTTGCCCCGCCCCGGGGTTCATTGATTTTCACTATATACATATAGTAGAAACTTTAAAAATCTACTTGTCTGAAGGTACATAGTCTAGAGCTTTGATTTTTGGTATATGATATCATCTTCAGGTCTCCTATCAAAGTTGTTCAAATTTTGCCTCTAGTGTCAAAATTAGCCCGCCCCGCCCCGCCCTGGGTTTTCCTTAAATATATGTAATAAAAAATGAAATAATCTTCTTCTCTGAATTTACAAAGGCTAGAGTTATGAAACATAGTGTAGTGGACCTCTACCAAGATTTTTCAAATTACAGCCCTTGGGTCAAAATTTGCCCCACCCCGGGGTTCATTGATTTTTACTATGTACATATATAGTAAATATTTTATAAAATCGTCTTGCCTGAAGGTACAAGGCTTAGAGCTTTGATATTAATTGGTATATAGAATCATCTATAGGTCCTTTACCAAAGTTGTTCAAATTTTGCCTCTGGTGGAAAAATTGGCCCTGCCCCGGGGGGTCGTAGGTTTTCCTTACATGTATATAGTAAAAACTTAAAAAATCTTCTTTTCTCAATTGACAAAGGCTAGAGGTTAGATATTTTGCATGAAACATTGCGTAGGGGACCTCTACCAATATCGTTTAAAATATAGCCCTGGGTTTAAAATTGGCCCCACCCCAGGGGTCGTTAATTTTCATTATGTACATACTATAGTAAAAACAGAAACTAAAACAAATGTTTTCTGAATAGGAGAAAGCTAGAGCTTAGATATTTGACATGAAATACTACCTGGTGGACCTGTATCAAGATTGTTTGAATTTAACCCTTGAGTTAAAATTTTGCTCTTCCCAAGGGGACATTGACCTATTTTCTTGTCCTTTGATGTACAGCCATGAAATATGGATGTGTGCACAGTTTGAGATGTAAAATTGAATTTTAATATCAGCTGACCTAGATTTTGACATGTTTTGAACCTTGTGCACAATTTTAAATGTAAAATTGAGCTTTGATATCAGCTGACCTAGATTTTGATGATGTGACCTACTATCTTGTCCTTTGATGTACAGTCACGAAATTTAGGTCATGTGAAATATGACCTTGACCACCAAATTCACTGGCTCAACTGCATTATGGAAAAATTCAAATGTATAGAAACAAATAAAAATCTTCTGTTCCTACACTACTATTTAGTGTTGTATTATAAAATGCGGTGAAAGCATTTTTCACAAATGCAAACTTGTTTTCAGCTTCAAAACTTTATTCCCTGCGGGCCGGAGCCCGCAGGGTATTGGTACGCGTTTTATTTTTGAGGCATGGAGGAGCACGTGACCTGTTTTCGGTACATGGAGGAGCATGTGATCTGTAAACCGTACATGATTGGTTATTTGACCTATTCGAAAACCTAGCTAAATACCGTTTCCCGGTACGTTACGGATTAACCTCTAGGGCACACCGGTCTCTTAAATGACCGGTGTACACAATGCTAGGGAATTAGTCCGAATTACACCTAACTAAGAACATAACACTATAACGTGATATTTCTAATTTTCTACTATTATTTTACCGTTTAAGGTGGAAAAACTTGCATGATGTGTTTGAAAATTATCAATGTTTCTTTAATATCTATCTGAAATTTTACAAACAATAAATTGTTTATAGTGAAAATCCACAGAATTAAAACATTCGTTTGTGGCATCTGCCATAATAGATAGAGATATTTTCTGCGTAATCTTGTGTGTTTTTATTTTGCACGGAATTATTCATACAATGGTATTTGATCATTTTCTTAAACAGAAATTTTGTTTTATTTTCGACCAAGACCAAAGACCTTCTTCTATTGATCGATTATTGTCAACTATATTCCTGATACAAACGTTAATTTTTTTCTATTTTTTCCCTAAACAATGTTGAAAATAGTTAAATGAAATATCTTTAAATCACTATAAATTTCCCCGCAGGAAACCATTTACTTGTTACGGAATATGGTATGGGATATGCAAATTGATTTATTTATATGTATTGCTGATTATGTAATAAATCTGACGGAGTCGCCTCTCAAAGCCGTCTGCTTGCTTTCCTTAAATACTAGTTGGCTTACCGGTGCTGTCTAAGTGTAATGTTATACGCCTTCGCCGTACCCGAGCTGCCTGAACTACGGAATTCCATTACGACATACTATTGCTCACTCACTGCCTATTGCCAACTGTTAATTGGTTTATGTAATTATCTACCCATCTAAGATTTTTGCCTATGCAAAGCAGGAAAAGTCCGTTTTAAAACAGTAGGGCTGGGTTGGTATATGTCACCTTTTTAAAATAACGTTTTAAGTCACACGAACATTCCGATCTGGAGATCGTAATCCCGAATTTTCGTAGAATTTTTTTAAAATATTAAAAATTACTGTCTTCCTTTTGTGCTGAATGACTTGATCTTATCATGACCAAGTTAACGGAAGTGCACGCTCTAAATGTATGTATAGTTATAAATACAACTGCTGAATTGGTACCGTTAACTCCATAAAGGAACAATCTTTGAAAATATTACAATTTGCCTTGTTATGCTGCAGGCTTTTAGAATGCAAATGTTGTGACCAAATCTAAATTGTCCTAATATGAAAAGACTAACAGGTCAAACAAAATGGTTCCATTTTTTTAGTTTAAATAGAGTTTTCAATGTTTTCTTGCACTTTCTATAACTCGGTCATAGTTAGATACAGTTTTACACACACCCTCAACATTACCGTTCCCTGGGGCACCCGTCGTGGTTAATGTGTGCATCCTTTAATTTGCAGTGATATCAGTAATTTACAGTGATGAAGGTTCGGCAAAGGGAAGCTGTAATTCATCGAAGATGGTTCCCGGGAGCTTTCCCGATTATCAGGAACCATCCTTTATGTTCACGACGACACTTCCTAGAAACTTCGGGACCATGGTAAAAGCATTGATCAGTGATTGTTCACCGAACCATTTTCGGTTTTTCATGTGTCATTCTTTATGGAATTGCTTCAGGTAATTAATAAAAGTATCGATAGCATTTGTTCTCACGACTTAAATATCTCGTGGCCACGACTTAGTAACTCGTGACCACGACATAGTATCTTGTTCCCACGACTTACTAGTAACTCGTGGCCACGACTTAATTATTTCGTGGCCACGACTTAATTATTTCATGGCCACAACATAATATCTCGTTCCCACGACTTAACTATCTCGTGGCCACGATTTAGTTACTCGTGGCCACGACATAGTATCTCGTTCCCACGACTTTACTTTCTCGTGGCCTCGATTTAGTAACTCGACATAGTATCTCGTGCGCACGAGTTAAATAAAAACACACGTATGTCACTTTTGTGCCGCCGTACCAATGACTTCCTTTACATAAAATAAATCAATCAAAATATCTAAAGTAATATGTATAATTTCATCAGAATGACAGATGTGCACGTGAAAATATCTAAATTTAGTTATGATTTACGATTCCATGATACAGACTCACATCTAAATATGGATGTATGGTATGTGACACGTTCTGGGCGGTGCTTTATTGGAAATATACATATATAATCTACTCTCTACTGATTGTTAGACCAACTTAACGCTGTACATTAACCAAGCAGGCAGGAGAGAAAACTTGTTTTGAAAGTGACGATGTCGAATATTATACATGTTCCGGTAAGATATATATCACTTCTTATAAATTATTATATGACTAAATGCTAATGTCTAAAGTATATCAGATATTGAAAGAATTTGAAATAATCTTCACTTTATGTAAATACATGTAATTTCTGCATTGAATATATTCTCGTTAATTCTATTAATTATTTAGATGGCACGATGATTTGCATTGTAAAAATGCGATTTTTTTTAAATTTTTTGATACATTTTGTAGAAGCAACTTCAAATTTGATTTCGTCTTTTTACACTTCTGTATGTAGTCTTTTATTTTGTATTGTGTGTTATATGATCTGAGGTAATTCATATAATTTATTACATATACATTCTTGTCACTTAGAGTGCATGTTTAAAAAAATCGCATGATAGGACAATAGAACCTTTTGAAAAGAAAAGAGAAAATAATACATCCCAGTTAAATATTACTTTATGTTCTTTAACAAATTGTTTGGCAGCTTTCGTTGCTCTAAATTTTACCTGCTTACTTTATATTTTTCTTCTCATATATTATGACAAACTCGACGTTATTTCCTTTGTCGTATTAAAGTAATTGACAGGGAATTGTTTTTTTTCTGTAAAAATCTAGTAATAATGGACAACATGACTCAAACAATCGTAAACATCGGCTTCACCAACAATTTTACTTAATATGTTATTATATGTGATTCAATCAATGAAAACAACAACAACAACATAATAGCGATTTCTTTTATCAACATTTTCTTACATAAAATAAATAGAGGATATTTGTTTAGTTCAGTGTAAGATCGGAATATATTTCACGGAGTGAGCACCAAAAGGTTTATTTCACGAGTGGCGCAGCCACGAGTGAAATATAAACTTTTGGGGTTCACAAGGTGAAATATATTTCGATCTTACACTAAACTAAACAAATTTTCTTTTTATTACATGCAAAGAAACGTTTTAAAAAGACATTAAACCTAATATTGAATGAAAAGCGCGCCAAATAATAATACAACGTGACGTCATTTACGACGTCACGTCATTAAGTTGGTACCTAGTACTGTGCACGCTGGTATTTCACTGAAACAACGTGAGGGGCTTAAATTCAAAACAGTGAAATTACCAGTTTTATATCACTGATATATTTCTATAAACCACCGAAAGGCATGTAATAAATGTGAATACTATTTGTTGAAACTGTATGAACTATTACAGACATATGTTACGAGGCCTCTGAATATTATCTGTCATTTTCTATACGCATCATAAACCTTTATGTAATATAGACATGATAGCAAAACGTCGAGGTTCCTAAAGCACCAATGATGTCAAGCATGGAAATTCCTTTAATTCCTTAATTTCCGTGTAATAACTTAGAAATTGTTTATTATCTTGGTATAATTTGAAACATTGAATAACCAAAGGAACCCAGTTCAATCAAATTGCACTGACCAGTAGGGAGCTGTTTGTTTTGAGCATACACCCGTCATACCGCCAAAGCTGCGTCTTCGAAGTGTAAATCTACTTTATTCATGTAGCAAAGAAATACTCTTTTTCTTTCGAAATTTTCGAAAGTCTGAATTGAAGAAACAATTTCCATTGATTGCTTTTTTAACACAGAACAGGCAGCAAAGTTAATATAAGACTTGTAGTCAAGTGTAGTATTCAGGAAAAGCATTTAAAAAACTCATATCAACATGATTTGCGCATTCTCACAAGATGAGTAAGCTGTAACATATGTTGTTGTTTTTCCTCTATAATTTTTTATAATGGGTACTTAAGGAATATAGAATGTAAATCATCCATGCGATTAGAATCGATGCGCAAATGTGTAAATTTGTAATACTAATCCAAGCAGCTGTTGGCTGGAAAAGAAATTGATATTTGTGGAGACATGATCAGTTAGTCATGTTTATACATAATTATGTAGAGCTTAGTTTGATCCTCGTGATTATATTTTATGGACAATCCTAATATACGTTCTTTATTCATACTTTTACTTAAATTCAGTGTTGTTATATTTTTCTGGTCCTTAGGAATCATTGATTCCAACACTTTAGACTTTGAAAATTGAGTACCGCTCAAGCCGGTGCTAGGGGGCGTGAAGAATGTTGCACTTTTTCACTTCAGTGTTGTTTAATTTTTCTGGTCCTTCGGAATCATTGATTCCAGTACTTTTAAGTATTGAAAATTGAGTATTGCTCAGGCCGGTGCTAGGGGGGTGTTGCACTCTTTCATTATCCCTCATATGCAGACTCAATAAAACCGAGTGTGCAATTTTCATGTAAATTTGTTGTGATTTTCTTCCGAGGGATCACCCTTGCTCCCGACCTATTTTTACATATAAGCGAATGTTCTGTGGGCCAAGGATAAAACTGCAGTAGCTGGTGACAAGAACAAAAATCACAATTTAAAACAATTTTCGAATTTTTTTTGACAAAGCTGTTTTTGTTGCTCTCAGGGGATTCGTCTTTTTCAGACTTTGTAATTCAATACGTCGATATATCTTACACTCTTTCCACCACATTACGTAAATTGTTTTCTGACAATGTGTCACAATTCTTGTTGTCGTATAGTATTGACCACACGACAACATGTGTTCATAGCCTACAATGTTAATCATATTTCTTAATTTAGATGTTACAAATCTATACGATATGTAAACTATATCTGGTAACAAGAACATAAGAGTTACATGAAATAATAGCATTGAAAAAATTAATTGAAAAGACGATATAAAATTATAAATCATGCAAATTTATGGAAACGGATATTTAATTTATAACAATAATCTTCGACATTACATGTTGAACTGTACCTTATTCTTAACGTTTTTAGAGTCATCTGGGCATTATTTTCGACCGCCGCACATAATGTAACTAAAATGATAGTAAAAATCGTACATATGTTCATAAAAATACCATAAAGGGGTAGATTTGGTCGAATGCTGTATAACTAATTAGTTGAGCAATGTAATATTCCTTGATCAAGTCTGATGTTAACGATTGTCAGGCATTGTGTCTGAGTATATAAAACCTGAATATACACTTAACAAATATTGTAAGTGTGCATGTATAAATATCTTACAATGTGAGTCAATATTGACCGTATCATGCTGAAATATTTCACAAATACAGTTGAGAGACATGGTACGATATTCCAGTTATTTAATTTCATAACAAACACAAATTCAACACACATGCCCAATAAATGTGATGGTGCGTAAATGTCGCAAAATAATCACATCTGTGATTTTTATTCTAAATCAACGTATGCCTACCTTGGCTTTCAAAGCAACACTGCAGTCTGATTTATAGTTGTAAATAAGTTTGTGGTAGATTTTAGTTTTAAGAAATCTTGGTTCGTTACGGGGCCATTGTTGCACTGCACAGGGAGGTTCAGGAAGACTGTAACACTTGTCACTTATGTTCATTAACGGTTATCCCTGTGCCAATCACCACCAATATGATGAACCTCATACTATACTATACTGAGATTTTATCAATGTCTAAAGAACAACATATGATTGCAGTTTCTACAGGATGTCATATAACAGCTACACACGTCCAAAGCGCCAAGAATCTTTCTGATTACATTTTATAAACAACATCAACCTAATGGAATATCACCACAATTTCTAGCTACACTTAAATGTAATAGAAGCTATACGGGGCGAAATGAACACCCTCGTAAGAAGTTTGGTGCAATGCCACAAACTATCGCCTACAAATATGCGAAAATTGTCCAATAGTGAATAAATAAACTCCAATATAATGAAAAATATTGGTTCACATCCATACGACAAAGCTGTCAGGTTGTAATCAACAGTCAGGACAGGCATACAATAGTAGAATAATTTTCAATGATACATTTAATTTGTGACATTGCTTATAACGCAATAGCACATTTATTCGGCATGTTCATCAAATTTGTGTTTTTTGTGAAATTTAATAATTGGAATATTTATCATGTCTCTCAACTGTATTTATTGAAAATTTCAGCAGGATCTTACCAAAATTGACACATATAATTTATGACACCATTTATACATGCACACTTATAAGATTTGTTAAGTGTATAATATTTGACTGGAAATATAAAAATAGCAAAAAATCATTCCGATGCCCATATCTTTATTCTATATAATGTTATTTAAGTACATTAAGGATCAATCATTTTTCAACACACAAAACCAAATATTTTTGATATGCTTTGTTCTTGATTAATTTGTATGTGTTTGACATTGAAAAAGATAACAGACTTTACACTTCCTTCCTTCCTTCCTTCCTTCCATGCTTTGCTTGTTTTAATTCTGGTCCATATGTAATTTCTATTGGAATGTCTTTGTTATATAAAATAGTTTGATTTTCGTAATTCTTTATTTTATTGCAGTATCCAGGTGAGACCAGCTGTCAAGGTTTATGTGGTCTTAAGATATATAATCCTGTACGTACTTTTTGCATGACTTAAGGATTTCCTCTAAATATAACTTCTTAATTCATGCATACATGTTGATAATTTAACTGATTCATAATTGAACCAATGTGTCTAAAATACTACTCGCCCTAAACTGAAAATCACTTTGTGATAATTAATGAAAATAAATTTTTAATAAATAAATAACCTTGTTCTAATAGTTGAATTGATGAACTAATATCGTTGTTTCTTTCATATAAATATAAAATTATGCAGTTTCACATTGCACATATATCACTATTGATCATATACTAGTAAGTAAATCCACAATAACTTTCTAGAATAACACTTATTCATAACAACTAAAATATTTGTCCTCCAAATGCTGATTTGATAAAACAAAACAGGTCTGTGTCTGTGAATTATGTTTACACCTGTTTAATTTACAGGACATACCATTTGGTCGGAACATAGGAAGTTTTTATCCCGGAAAAATGTTGTTCATCAACGGAACACCAAATCCCGACTGCCCAAGGTATAAACAATTTATTCAAAACATTTCATTTCTTAGAACAATATAAACATCATTTATGTAAATATATCTTTAAATCCTCGAAGGAATCAAACCAATTGATAATTGCATTTAATATGTCTAAGTTCAATATTTATATCTTGTAAAGTGTTTTGCTCAGGCGCCATTCCAGGGAGAATTTGTCTTGCGAAATAGAGTGTTACTGTTGAAATATACATGTCACTGAAAAGTCATGCTGCAAAAAACGTAAAGGCTGATAAAATAATGTACTCGTACTTATAGAAACGATTTTCAGTTGATATTTTGTTTACGTTTATAGAAAGAATATTTATAGTTTGATTCAAAGTATGAAGATAACTCTTTATATTTATATAATTTTAAAGCTACTTTCGTCTTGTTAACAGTTATCAAATATGCATAGAAGTAAAATTTGCAGTTTCCTTGAGATAACTGTGATCTAACGGTTGTTATGTTTCATAAACACCCCTATAATCACAGCCAAGTAGGACATCTTGATGCAGGTCAATTTGACCTGAACATATAAATGCCAGTTTTAAACCATATATAACCAAGATATTATCTTCTTTTTATGTCTTTTTATAGACATAATTTTCTATGCTATATTGTGCAGCCATCAATTACAGGATATAAAAACTTACCAAGTGCACAATTGTTCTACCCGCAACCAGCTGATCTACTTGCAACCAGTTAACGGATGTTTTTATAATTTATGTAAACATTTATAAAAAAAAAACATTGCAAACACTTCACTTAATTGTATTTTCGTCGGACAAGGCATGTATTTATCATCTAGTTCCATATAAATGGACGAGTCTGTGGTGAAATTTTATTTTTATGACATCTTATTTCAATAACGCCCAAACTACAATGTGTAGGATAGTAGCTTTAATAATTTTTTTGTATTTAAAATCAATTATCGAATTTGCTTACGAATTTTTTTTGCTTTAACATTAAAACAAAGCACAAAAAGAACTACCGGTTTTTAAAACCTAATTAAACTTGATTTTTTTTATTTATTTATTTATTTTTAGATTTTCCATCAATTTAAAAAGCGGAAAAGAGAATGCTTTCCACTTTGACGTTCGTTTTAATTTTGATAATGATTCAAACGTCATTATACGGAATGCAAAAATCGACGGGAAGTTTGGCGAAGCTGAGAAGACCTTGAGTTGCCCATTCCCGTTTGCCCCTGGGAAGGCTTTTGAACTTGTTCTTCTTGTTGACCAATCCGGTTACAAGGTATGATTGATAAAAAATTCCGAAATGTAATTGATTTATGATATTGGATAAAATTATTATTATAACTTTTACTATGTTAGGTTTCTTAAATGGGTACCATGTGCTTTAGATTTGGAAAGATATCTTAAATTCTAGCCAGAGTAGAGAACAGTAAAGAACCTAGTTAAATTACATTGATGTGCACACAGACATGGCTCAATACCGGTGTCATATATCTATAATTATTGCCACAAGCGCTCTGTAACACCGCACTTTGGGGTCAAACGCACTTTGTGTACAAAATCGAGAAATTGACCCCAAAGTGCGTTAATATGCTACCTATCAACGCACTTTGGGTTCCCGAGGTCTAAAGGTGTCATCTGAGTTCTGCTTAAATACTGAGTTTTGACTTATTTTCGATCTGCGACATTGAAATATTTGAGGTGGAGTTCAAGATGGCGGTCAATACTTTGATGAAGCTTAAGTGATAAAAGTTTCATTAATTTACCACTTGAAAATCTAAAAATTGTGTTCATATAACAAAATTACGGTGGCATAAAAGTGACATTTGCATTTTTTTTAGTTTTGCATACAAATTTTATTTTAGTTTTTCGTACATATTTTGTTTTTGCTTTTCGTACATATCTTAGCCAATCAAAACAGCCTTTAAATCTCATAACAGTCCATAGTTGAGTATAAAACTAGCGCAGTGGTTTGTTTGGTCAAATTTCGACCCATTTTTGGAATCGGCCCTGTCGTTTTCGGCCGCGCAAGTCTGGTTTCGGCCCATTTTTTAAAATTATATGTATTTTATATAATTATTGTTTTTTTTATTATTATATACTATTATATTAGTGTCTATTTGGAAAGGGCTGTTAATTGGTGATCAGTTATTATTCCATGAATATGCACCACTCAACCCCACCCCCTGAGAATAGCGGGGAGGGGGGCATTGACTATAAACCAAGCCGACCACTGGTAAAATCTTCGCCCTGCGGGGGATACTCAGATAATAACATTCCTACCTTATGTCCCGGAACAGCGCAAACATCAAAACACGATTTTTTTAAAACCCGCACTCCCCAGGGGGGCAAGGAAGGTGGTTACAAATGACTGGTGTATTACAATAATGCACAATAAAAGATCTAAATAGGTCCTTATATTCCACTGATTTAGAAAAAATGCTTAAAGCTTTGAGGAATTTTTATGAAACTTGGGTCAATTCTTTAGCACATCCAGATAATGTGCAGAACTTATATGCCAGGTGTGCCGGCTCAAGGTCGGGGTCACACCTATAGGTCAAAGGGTTAAGACTTGGGTTTCATGCCCGCTCATTATCTCCTAAACCCAATGAAGGATTTTCATGCACCTTATGTCAAATGTTAACCACATCGAGACCATATGCAGAACCTTTCTTTGGGTTACCGCGGACTATATATACACTAGAAAGTGTTGTTATTTTTTTGATAACTCCAAAAATGAAAATGTTGGCATTTGCAAATGAATGGCATTTGCAAATGGGGTACTGTAATTTACAGATGGCGAAGTGTTTGAAAATGGTGTTTTAAAAATGGCGTAATTATCCAAACCTCTACTTAGCAAATGATCATGTACAAATATGTACGAAAAAAACAAAAATACAATATGTACAAAAAAACGAAAATAAAATATGTATGCAAAACTAAAATAAAATATGTATGCAAAACTAAAAAAAAAGTATGTATTCAAAACTTAAAAAAAAATATGTACGACAAACAAAAAATATGTACGAAAAAAAAGTATCAAAAAAAATATTGCAAATGTCACTTTTATGCCACCGTTCAAAATACTCTAGTGCAGAAATTGTGTATTCCTAAAATTAAAAGATGCTGCTAAAATATCCCGTTCTGTCAGTCATTTACTTGATAATTTTTGGTGCCCCATTTTAAATATGTTGGGAATGAAATAAAATGCATGCAGTTAATATTTTTTTCCGAAGAACTATAAGTATGCTCTATTGCAATGTTCTAGTGAAATATCAAGTTTTTTTTTCGATCGGACTATAAATAGTGATTTTTACAAATACATTATTAAGCTTATCAACAAACTTAAGGGTTTTTGTAAGGTCCGTAACAACCGTTCGCCAGAGGTTTTTTAATGGGAAATCTTACATACTTCTTCAGAAAGAGCAAACATGAATTTTAAAATGTTAGTGTAATGGTATCAGAGAAAAGTAAGATGCTTGTTACCTGAATAAAGTAGTGATAAATGTGAAATTATTTGTCATAAAAGTAGTCAAAACAATGTAGTATTTGATTTCCATATAAAATACTAACTCACTATAACTGTACTCATCATTGCCAAAAAGCAACAGATGAAAAAGATGGTTCAGGTAATTGGCCAACGTGTATTTTTTGGATACTATAGAAGAACATCAAAATAAAAGCTTTTAAGAAAAATAAATAAAAGCATAATAGGCCTTTAAAACGTTATTTTTAACCCTCGGGGGATCGATACCCCACAATCCCCTCTATACCCCAGTGAGAATTTTACATTATTCTGAAGCTCCGCTCTAAAATTACTTCATTGTCCTGCCTGTACGGACTACTACTTAAAGCCGCATCTACACCTAGTCAAGTTTCTAATGTATCACATTTAGCTAAATAAATGGCTATTTCAACATATTATCAGGCACATTTTTACTGAAATGTCTTACTAAGATTACCCAGAATTTATACCTTTGTCTATGCTAAGACTATCATATTTCTATAAAATGTGTAAATAAAAAACGGGAAAATGATGCAATTAGCTAAAAACAATGGAGTTAATGAAAGGTGTACATTCTTTTAAAATAAATGGAAAATTTGAGAAAAAAATGTTTTTTGCTTAATAATTGATACAAAATCTTTATTTGGTTATTTATTTGGTGAAAGTTCTTCACGTACTAATCAAGACCATTTAAATCCCTATTGATTCAACTATAATTCAGGGCACATGTTTTGCGTCTATTTGATACCTTGACTTTTGTTTACCATTGGCTTTGACTACAACATATTATCTAAAACATAATGAACATTAATTTTCTCTGACCCCAAAGTGCGGTCGTTTGCCTGATGTTAAAAAATGCATATGTACCTGTTTAACGCACTTTGGGGTCGAAAGTGGACCCCAAAGTGCGTAACGCACTCTGGGGTCGGACCCCAAAGTGCGTTTGATCCCAAAGTGCGGTGTTACAGCGCTCAAATGGTTGAACATTATATGACATTAAACAAACATGAAGACTTGGCTTGATTAGATAAATTAATTGTAAGATAAGTTTTACAAAAAAAATGTGCTTGGTAAAACTTGGCGCAAAGCAAAGTCAAATATTTGACTATAGCTATAATACCTCCTGTAACTACGCATTTAGTATAATTAGAATAAAGGGAAATTCATAAATTGTTCTGTTTTTTTCTTATATAGATCAAATTTACTTTCGGCTATATATATTTTCAGGTTGCTGTTAATAATCAGCATATTCTGGAGTTCAGTCATCGATTCCCAATGGAAAATGTTAACTTACTGCGTGTCCGAGGAGATGTGAAAATTTCATTGATAAGAATTCAAGGATGAAACTTTATTTATATGATGACCATTTTATATCATCGTTGACTATATGTATACCGTATTTTTATTTGTGGTTGTAACAATCAAATTGTGCGTTATATTTGGGTGAATATTGTAATTTTTTAACATAAATGTTTCTAGGGTTAATATGAATTCATATCATATCATTAGTTTGAACTTTTTATGAATTCAAAAGAATTACATTATATTGGGCGAGAACATTTCTGGTTATCTTTCTCTTTTGTATATATCTAAATCTAAAATGTTTGCATATCATTTATTTGAAATTTTTACGGATTCAAAAGAATAACATTATATTGGGCAAGGACATTTTTGGTAATCATTCTCTTTTTGTATAAGATCATGCTCACATAACTCGTCATTCACTTTACCACAAATATTTCTATAATGTCATGTAAATATATTTGTATACTCGTAGTATCATTTGAAATAAAGCCTTTGAAACTTTAAATAAGCTCACGATTGTCATTTCCTCAATTTATTTCACTTTGTATTTACATTTTTGTATTACACCCTTAAAACACATTCTGCTATAGAATCATTAAAACTGCAATAAAGAAACTATGCAATTAAAACAGATAAGTCTTGTATGCTATTCATGTGTTTCCTTTTTTCTTATAAATCTCCACATGATGCTTTAAAAGCATACTGAGAACTGTTTTTTTTTAAAAGAGGAAATATTTTTCTTAAGGAAAGCGCAATATAACGTCTACAATAAGGTCCAAAGGACAGTAATGTTCCCACCGCAATACAGCTGACCATTATCTAGCACGGTTAGAAATTTAGATTTTAAGCCAGAATGTGAAAGTTTGTATTTAAAAAAAACTAGCATGTAGCAACGCTATATGTCGCAACGCCGCTATATGTCGCAACTAACGCTAAATGTCGCAACGCTGACGCTATATGTCGCAATCAACGCTATATGTCGCAATCGCCTACCGCTAAATGTCGCAACGTTGCCGCTATATGTCGCACAAAAATCGATTGCCGCTAAATGTCGCAACCCCTTGACGCTAAATGTCGCACTTGGTAGAAAAGTCAAATCAGATCAGGCACATTGACCGATTGGTTTCCATTTATATTTGTAACAAAACTACCTTTCACAAATACATATATCGCATTAACAGAGGTTATATCGGTAACAAAATGGAATTAAATATAAGCCGCGTGAATTCATATCGTTATTGCGTGATGTGTCTTATTACTACAATTTAATACAGTGGAACGGACAACAAACATCAAAATAGTTGGTAGCGGGACACTTGAAGGTCAAAGGTTAAATTCGTGTCCGCTCCATAACTTTTTCATTTATTATGCTAATTTGATCAAACTTCACACAAATGTTCACCGGCATTAGATATTGTGTCCCATGCAGCATCAAGGTCCCTACCGCGTCAAGGTCAAGGTCACACTTGAAGGTCAAATTCTTGTCCGCTCCATAACTTTATCATTTATTATGCGAATTTGAACAAATTTCAAACAACTTGTATGTAACCCAGGCATTCCGCACCGTCGGTCTATTTGAAGCATTGTCCTTAGCACCACAAACAGTTTTCTGACCAATGAAAAGCACACACGTCACAATAACATCAACTAGGTATAACAGAAACGTGATACTTTAATATAGTATATTATATTATTTACGCATGCGTAGCAAGATGGCTGACATGAAAATTTAAAGTGAGAGAAAATAATTTAAAATCGGATTTATGGTGATATATGGAAATTGTTTTTGATAATTTTGATGACAATCTGATTGGAAATATAGTAACTGTGCTGTTTGTGCTGGCTGATATACACTTAACGAAACATATAAGTACTCCGATTTCAAACTTGCAGGAAAACTCCGGTTTTCAAAATATATACCAAATCAATGTTGAAAATGTGTACTTACTCTACTTTCCGACTGCATGAATGATTTTAAAACAAAATCAATCATCCGAAACGCAATATGGTGGTCACATGCAAAAAACCGAAAATGGGCACGTGCATTTCGTGCAAGATGCCCACATTGTGTATTTTGATGCAAATTGTTAGTTTATTGATGTGCCTAACATAAAAACACAAAATGGCCCGAATGTCGCTGCAACAAAGAGGAATTGCCATTGGGCTATTACAGGGCGGCGCATCGCATGCAGAGGTATGAATTGACTAAACTTGAAGGTATTTGATTTTTTTTACAATGGTGATCTCAGTTACTGATTTTCTGTTAAGTTTGAGTTATTGTAAAATGCATTTACTATTATAAAATGATGATACTATGATTAAAGTTTATACAGTTTATACAGTATCGACTTAGACTAGTTATAGTAATTCTAACACAATATAATAAAAAATTGGTCGGAGTACTTATAAGTTTCGTTAAGTGTATATATCGTGATATAGAAAACGGGATTTGTTGTGTTTCTTGGATATAGCATTACATTTTGGCGGTAAATTAGATTTGATTGAAAACTCTATAGAATAATATGGTTAGTGCGTTGCTGTTTATATGATATAATGTTTATATGATGGAGACGAGAACTAGTACACCCTTATCACATACATATAACGTACCGGTACATAATAGGTTTAGTGAGTTTCAACAACAATGGGCGAATTGCGATCAGACACCAATTGGGCAAAATGGACAATCTGGATCCCATAACACCCAGGCAAATAGACCATTTTCTTCGCTAAATTCGATAAATTATTGCGAATATTTCAACAACTGGGAAAACTTGACGATATAGACTCGAATTTACAAAATTTGTCCTCGAATTTGACCAGAACAACATCTCAGTTTGACCAAGTTTAAAGACGGCTTAACCTTCATTTAGAGTTTACAAAACTCCAATTATACCACAGTATTGATGATAATGCCCGTAGCCGGAGAAACAATATAATTTTCTACGGATTAGCGGACATGCAAAATGAGAATTGCCTTGAAGTGTTAACGGAGTTTTTGTCTGACTGGCTTGACATTGATCTCGAGAGAATGTATATTCAACGAGTCCACCGTCTCGGTCATTGGGTCGGACAGTGCGAGGTCAAGATGGAGTAACGCGTAGACCGATTATTACGTGTTTTCGGGATTATCCGGACACTGAATTGATAATGAAAAGAGTCAATTGGTTAACTGGATCCCGTTACGGGATCGATAGGGACTACCCTGAAGAGATTGCTATTGCCAGAACTCGTCTTTACAAATACATGAAGTCAAACTATGAGCACTCCGAGAAATGTAAAATAGCGTATCCGGCAAAGTTGATTGTCAAGGGTAAAGTAGTGCGTGATGAATTTCCTGACTGGCACGCGGTACTGAACAGAAACCGAATTGACATTATAAATGACTTGTTTGCCAAGAAAGATATTTACTTACAATCAACAGTGATAGACGACAGGGCTGACGAGCCTAATTGTACAACATCCGTCACGCATGAACCCACCGCTCCGCATGAAATCGGCGTATCCCATAAACATCCAGAAAAACATGATAACTCGGTTAACAATGGACCCCCAATTTACTATGAACCAACTCACGGCCTCACGCTAACTATGGAAAATCTGTTTATAGTGATACTCCCGTTGATCATGTAACCCCTGAGAACGATGCCGCCGCCTTGAAGGGTTCCCCTACAAGAGCGAATCATGCGTCCCTTAACCATTCAAGCTCGTCATTTTATGGGGATTTTCCCCCACTTTCGAAAGAATCACAGAGTAATAGTGCAGCGCGTACCAGTGTTAAAGAAAGATCTTCAACTTAGGACCACGGGGAGAGACATGTTGAGTCATTGAACTTTGTGCTACTAAATATTCAGGGATTAGTGACTAAAAACGTTAATAAACTTGAACAACAAGATTTAGTCGACATTTTCAATTCAAATGATTTCATATTTATTGTAGAGACATGGGCAAATTGTTTAATTAATTTGGAAAAACCTGGGTTTAAACTATTTTCTGTACATAGAAAAGAAAGAAATATTAATGCAAAAAGAGACTCTGGTGGTATATGTTGTTATATTAAACAGAAATATATTAATTACGTACATAAAACAGACGGGGATGATATTTTATGGCTAAAATTTTCACGTAATCTTTTTGAATCTGATCATGACTTGTTTATTTGCTTATGCTATGTTTTACCTCAGGGAAGTAGTAGAGAACATTTAATAGAAATCCCGGTTTTTGATAGAATTATGAGTGAAATGTCAAAACTGTCACATGAGTTTGGTGATAATTGCAATTTTCTCGTGCTTGGAGACATGAACAGTCGAGTTGGGTCTTTAAAAGATTTTGTAGAACATGACGATGTTGATCGGTATTTTTCTGAATTATTGCCTGATGATTATATAACTGATGTTTATATGGATAGGTTGACAACCGATACCGGCGTTAATAGAAATGGGCGTCTTTTAATTGATTTTTAGCTCGACTATTCGATAAGAATAAGTAGAGCTATTGCAGTCACCCGAGCGTCGGCGTCCGCGTCGGCGTCCGCGTCGGCGTAACCACTTATGTTAAAGTTTTTGTAATAGTTCAAATATTTTCAAAGTCCATTGACATATGGCTTTGAAACTTTGCACACTTGTTCACCATCATGACCCCAACCTGTAGACAGGAGGAGGTAACTCTATCAAGCATTTTGACAGAATTATGCCCCTTTTTCGACTTAGAATTTACGTTAAAGTTTTTGTAATAGTTCAAATATTTTCAAAGTCCATTGACATGTGGCTTTGAAACTTTGCACACTTGTTCACCATCATGACCCCAACCTGTAGACAGGAGGAGGTAACTCTATCAAGCATTTTGACAGAATTATGCCCCTTTTTCGACTTAGAATTTACGTTAAAGTTTTTGTAATAGTTCAAATATTTTCAAATTCCATTGACATATGGCTTTGAAACTTTGCACACTTGTTCACCATCATGACCCCAACCTGTAGACAGGAGGAGGTAACTCTATCAAGCATTTTGACAGAATTATGCCCCTTTTTCGACTTAGAATTTACGTTAAAGTTTTTGTAATAGTTCAAATATTTTCAAAGTCCATTGACATATGGCTTTGAAACTTTGCACACTTGTTCAACATCATGACCCCAATTTGTAAACAGTAGGAGGTAACTCCATCAAGCATTTTGACAGAATTAAGCCCCTTTTTCGACTTAGAATTTACGTTAAAGTTTTTGTAATAGTTCAAATATTTTCAAAGTCCATTGACATATGGTTTTGAAACTTTGCACACTTGTTCACCATCATTACCCCAACCTGTAAACAGGAGGAGGTAACTGTATCAAGCATTTTTTTACTATCAAGCACTAAGAATAGTCGAGCGCTGCTGTCCTACCGACAGCTCTTGTTGTAAAGCTAGTGGCCTGCGCATAATGAACGGTAGAATATGTGGCGAAAAAGGCGTGTGTACATATAACGGACAATCAGCGAGAATTTTATTAGATTATGTTATTTGTAATACATC